CAAAAAAAATCAGTTTCACACAAAAGAGTTCGAATACTAAATTTAATAATATTTACTTAAGTCTTAAGTAAATATTAAGTTAAGAACAATAAAATGTATTTAAAAAAATTAATGCAAGAAAAAACATCAGTATTAAATTTAAACTAAAAATCAGTTTCACACAAAAGAGTTCGAATACTAAATTTAATAATATTTACTTAAGTCTTAAGTAAATATTAAGTTGAGAACAATAAAATGAATTTTTCAAAGATTATAAAATATTATAAAAGTTTTCAAAGAATTGAAAACTTTTATAATTTGGATCCAAAAAAGTAGCACATAATAAAAACGAATTATTTTCTAATTCGTATGAATCTTTGTATGTTTGTAAAGATTCTAATAAATGCAATTTTAATAGCACAATTAAAGGAGGGGTATCACTTTTTTTTTATTTAGTTGCTTCTCAAGGTACTTTATACTTGGAATAATTAAAGAACATGTTGCATAAGTATCGCCCGAAAGTAAAACACTTACTTGATTAAAGCTTACTAATGCTTTTACCGTTTCTTTTAAGTTAACTATTTCATCTTCATCGAGCAAATTTTTTCTCATATCTTTGTATTGTTGTTTTGAATTTAAAATATCTTTTACGTAGGAGTGAAGTTTAAGCATTCTTTTCAGCCATAAGAAACGTGGAGTGCCAACGAGTTTTCACATCTTGAATCAAATGAAGGATGTGATTTTTTTCGACACCTTGTTGTATTTGACTTTCTTCTAATAAATCATTAAGTTGAGAAGAATAATTGAAAGATGTAAGAATTTTTCTGCACTTTGTTAATGTTTTTGCAATAAAAAAGAATTTCGACGAGCTATCGTTTTCACCTTCTTCAACTAAATCTATGACATTTTTTACTACTAATTGCAAAACATGCCCCATACATCGTATTGGTTGAATGTTTAAACTAACTTTTAAAGAATTGAGACAGTTACGTACGTTAGTGGCATTGTCGGATACTACACTCATTATTTTATCATCTACCTTGAATTTTTCTAAAATTTTCAGCAAAGCGTCTTTCAAATTATCTACATCATGGCGCCCATTAAGATATGCAAATCCCAAACAAAAACTGATGAAATTGTTTTTTTCAGAAATAAAACGTGGAGTTGCAGATATGTAACTATAGTTTTGACAGGACGTCCACCCATCGGTAGTAATAGATAAAAATTTAATTGACAATAATTTAGACTTCAAAAGATCAATTTTTTCTCGATATAAATCTGTTAAAAGAGATCTTAATTTTTTTCGGCTAGGGACTTTGTACTTTGGATTTAAGCAAAAAATAAAATCTTTAAAGGCATTACTTTCTACCATTATAAATCGAAGACAACAGGCAATAATGAATATTAAAAGATTTCTATCAATCTTATCGCTATTTTCTTTTGACAAACCACTCATGTTTCGTTTTTTTTTCGGGGTTATTATTTCGTGATCATGTTCAAGATGGTAATCTAGTATACTTTTTGATGTTTTACTTGAGTACTTTTTAGGTCTGTTACAATTACATTCATTGCAAACCCATTTCGATGTTTCCTCCTCAATTGAGTAATATTCGTATGTAGTTTTAGTTGCTTCCTCAATGAACTGTGTATCAATTTCAATTTCTTTTTGACTTGATGAAAAAATTAAACTGGTTTCGCCATCGTTATAATTCGCAGGGTTTTGTTCATCTATAATCTTTCTTTTTTCAAACCTTTTCTTTAAATCGGATGTTGAAGTGGTATTTTTAATAGGAGAAATCGTATTATTGTTAGACATAATATAAAAATTGAATTTCTCAAAAAATGTTGATAGATATTGTTCAGAACTATTTATCTAGTATAGAGCAGGAAACCACTTTGAGGTTTCAATTAAGACATTCCATAAAAAATTTTGTTTTTAGAAATTTAATAAATTTATGACAACTCAATTTTAATTTGACAATTAAATTTTGAGAAATTTTAAAAACGAAATACAATTTGTGAAAAATAGGTAATAAAAATGATTGTTTGTACATGTATTGCCCCAAATGTTCTATTTATGAATAAAATAGTATTTAGTTTTTTATCAGATTAGCTTGCAGTTATTAACAGCTGATATTTTATACATAACCAATGACGGATTATAGCATTTCAGACCATAGGCAGAGACGATTAGAGGGTCTAATTTGACGACAACTGAGGTGTTTTTTTAAAAAACTTATTTGTTATTCGCTTTTTTTGGTAGTTTTGCCCTACTTCTCCACCAAAATGTCATGTCATGACCTATAAAATTATGCAGATCTTTACCAAAAAAACTTTAATTCAATGTTTTCAAATTGTATTTACTGTTTAAATTAATTATTAAACAACTTTAATTAAACAAAATCAGTTTCATTTTATTAACTTTAATACAGTATATTTTACATATTTATTTCAGATTTAAAATACTGGTCTCTTTTTTAGGCGATTCTTAGGGATCTGCCTAGTTTCCCTAATGGGTAGTCCGCTACTGTACCAAATACATATTTAGTTAATATTATGTTTAACAACATTAAAAAAAAAAAAAAGAGAATAATTTAACAAGATATATATATATTCAGTTAAACAATATAATTATAATGAAAAAATTTGATTGCCTTGATTTTACAATTTAATAGTCGTCACAATAATTATCTGCATTTTAAGAGTGTAGAACTGAATAATTTACAAACTGTTACATCGAAAAATTATTGGAGGTGTCAAATAAAGAAAATCCAAATATGCTCATATGCTCATAACATAACTTTGAAAAAAACATTATTTATTTATTATATAATAGGTTCACATAATTTTTTTTTTATAATATATAATTCACTTTAATTTAAAACCTGAAAAACTCAAATGGCAAATGAAAAATACTTGGCGGTCTAACCTTCATCTAACTTCACAACTAACACATAAAAAGGTTTATAAAAATTATAAACCTTTTGAAATGGTTTATAATTTTTATAAAATACTACCTCTGAAATTTACTAGGCCGGCACAAGTAGGTAACACGTAAATTTACCAACTGACTGTTCTGCAAAACTACATTTGCCGACTTACTTATCTAAAAGAGTCAAATATTTTTTTTTCATTCACCTCCTGAAGGCCGAGAAGGCCTCTACAGATGAGGAGGCTACTTAATAGTGGTTATAACCCTCTCTTGACTCTATAACTCCAAAACACGAACCTTGGCGAACAAGGCCGCTGCGTGGAGAAACAAGTTCAGCGCGGTATTACTAGGGACTTGGTGGGGTTGTTAGTCGGGTAATTTTAGTTAACTAAAAAGTTATTCGGGTAATTTAAGTTAACTAAAATGTTAGTTGGGTAATTTTAGTTAACTAAAAAGTTAGTCGGGTAATTTAAGTTAACTAAAATGTTAGTCGGGTAATTTTAGTTAACTAAAAAGTTAGTCGACTAATTTAAGTTAACTAAAATGTTAGTCGGGTAATTTTAGTTAACTAAAAAATTAGTCGACTTATTTTAGTTAACTAAAAAGTTAGTCGACTAATTTTAGTTTCGGTATTTTTAGTTTAGTTAGTTACAATTTTTAGTTTTGGTCACAACACTATCAAGAATTGAACTCCTACAGAAAAATGGTGGCGTAGGATTTGTAAAAGGCACAAAGATTTAACTTGACGTCAACCAGAAGGTACAGCAGCTATTAGACATCTGTGTATGAATGTTTGTAAAGTGTCGAAATATTTTCCAATTCTTAAATGTGTTAACGGAAAACAACCTACTTCAGAAACCACAAAACATTTGGAATATGGAAGTTTGATTATCGTCCTGGAAAAATAGTTGTTAAAAAAAGAGTTAAGCATCTACAATGTCATCAATCAGGTAACCGGGAAATAATCAAAGTATTAGCATGTGTCAATGCAATGGGTAACTCTTTTCCACCACATTTCATATTTAAAGGAAAAATTACTATCTCTCTCGAGTTTTGATTTTGAAAATGCCTCAGAAAAAAGTACACGGAGTGTTTCAGACAGTGGTTGGATAAAGCAAGGCACTGCATATCTATAGTTTACTAAGACATTTCTTTCTGGAAAATTTGGATTTTTATAAATGTATATGAATTTGTTTACTCTTACAATATAAAAAAAGCTCTCGTTCTTTAACTAAAATTGAGTTATTTGGTTTTTACAGAAATTTCATTGCCTTTGACCCAATTGCCCAAAATGAGGCAAACGAGCACTGGGACTCTTAAATATATTTTGCCTTTTTTATAAATGTGTATGAACTTGTTTACCTTGACAATATGAAAAAACACTTGTTCCTTAACTAAAATTAATTTTTCTGGCCCAATCGCCTTGATTTGGGGAATTAGACCTGAAGTTTTTACATATTTTTTTTTTGAAATTTATAAATTTAAATGAATTTGTTCACTCTGACAGTTTGAAAAATCGTTTGCTTTAATTAAAGTTAATTTTTGCAGTTTTAACAGAGCTCTTTGTACTCTTGACCCAGTTTGCCCCAAAATGGGAAAACGGGCTGTTTTTTTTTTTTTTTTTACATATTTTCCTAATATTTATAAATAAAAATGAGTTTGTTTATTCTGACAGTTTGAAAAAACCCCTTTTTTAACTGAAATTAATTTTTATTATTTTTACAGAGCTTTGATTGTTCTTGGTCCAATTACCCTGAATGGGCGAAACAAGCCCTAAGATTTTTTACATATTTTCGTCATATTTATAATAGTATATGAATTTGTTCACTCTAACAGTTTGAAAAAGCTCTTTAATCGCCCCCCCTCCTTTATTAAGGACTCGAGAGTAAAGTACAAAAATTTGTATTTGATTTGAAAAACCCCGAATACATATAATTGTATTTGAATTTGTATTTGGAAATTTAGACCAAATGCATTTTTACTGTATTGTATTTGTATTTGATTAAATGTATTTGATCCCAACCATGGTTATTACCGTCTTTTACAATTTAATATGAAACCATAACAACCAATAACAATATACTTTTAAAATTTTTTATTATATACATTTAATTCAAAAATTTTTATATAAAAATTAAAATATTAACAATAAAAACTTTTTAAAATGAGTAAAAACTGTTATATCAAAACAAACATAACATGAAATCCAACTGAAAAACGAACGTTAACACTATTAATATTTTCTACAGTCATTTTTAACAGCATTTGCAAGATTTTGGTATTTCTTCCTGATTTATGTTTGGTAACAAACCGTTCATCTAAAATTTGGTAAAGCAACAACAAATTACTTTAAATATTTTGCGGAATTAAAAAGTACTAATATAAATAAAAAACTGCTTCTTATTTTTTACTATAAAAAATTCATAATAAATAAAATTTTTTTGCAATACTTCTAGAATTTGATCGAGCAACTCTTCGAACATCTAAAACAAAAGCAAAATTTATTAATATTACTTTGTAATGCATGTAAGTCTTTTTAGGGGTAAAAGCAACTCCAAGAAGCAGGGTAGGAAAAAAGCCAGGGTTTTTAAAAATAAAACCTAACCCAAATGGTTTTTTTTTTAAAAAAAACTGATCAAAATTTCAAGTTTTTTTTTTAATTTTATAAATTCACCTTTCTATTGCTTATGTGTCCACTTCAGTCAAGGGAACAAGTCATTTTTGTATTTATAAAACAGGGCGGGAATAATGATCAGCCAATTTAGGATGACATTGAACTTTTCATGTTTTAATTTTTTAGATTATGGATAGATTCGTTTTGAAAGTAGATTTGTTCCTAAGCTTACATTCTTTTTAAGAATATCTAAAATGGATTCGTTAAGAAACATCAAAGTTTCTTCATCACCAGGTTCTTTATGTTTTCTTTGAATGTGTTTTTTTAGCTCAGTTTTGCAACTGAATCAAAGTATTACAATATATAGCTCTATTGTGTGTGTTTCTTCACCTTTTAGCAAACTGGTACTGATGTTTATTTTTACCCAGCTGTTCATAGTCAAACACCGTTGACGGTACAGATGACAGATGAGACATGAGAATCGTTTTAAATAGACACAATACACAGATGAGCATGGGTATCATTTTCACCAACAAATCATGTCTTTGTAAAGTGCATACAAGTTTCCAAAATGTTCTCACATTGAATGAGGAAACAGGTTTTGTTGCACATAACTTATGTTTTTTATGTTTTAAGATTGTATGTACTTAACAAGGACAAGCCTATATTCTAGTAAACTGTAGCCTAGTTTTTTTTTGCCTGACAACTTTCCACTTCCAGACTGCGAATAAAGAATAATAATTCTTATACATAGTGTCTGCTTGTGTCTTTGTACTGAATTTTGTAGTTTATAACATAAACTTTGAAAAAATAATGACAGATACAAAACGCTTGTTTGGAAATATAGACATTTAAGAGACGAGTAAAGATATTAAATAACTAGTAATGTCTTGTGCTTTGAAATTTAGTTATTACAATAATTTTTTTTTCATTTATAAATATTTAACTAATTTAATATTTTAATACACATTTCAATGTTTTTTTAATATTTAACTTGCTACATGATTTAAAAAAATAACAAATTACCAACTTGCTACAAAAAAAAAAAATGTTGATTAGTTTTGGATTATTCTGTAAGGATTTCTACTTTACTACATTTAGCTTTTTTATTTTGAATAAAAAGAAATTCCATCTTGAATCTAGATGTTTTAGCACCCGTTCTTATAAGGGGCCATCCATAAAGGACGTCACCATTTTTTAGCCAATTTTTGACCCCCTTCTCCCCCCTTCCTTTGTCACCGGTTGTCCTTTTTCCCTATACCCCCTACAAAGATTGAAGTAAAAATCATAATCTAAACAGCATTTTGTATATAAATACAGTACTTACAAGAGTATTTACAGTAAAAAAGTTGAAATTTTTTGATAATAAAGCAATTATACGAGTTAAAATCAGACTTACAGTAGCATAATAAGCATTAAAAAAAAAAATATATATATATTTGGGTTTTTTGATGTTTTTTGTAAGGTGGGTTTTTTGGGATAGGTTTTTTTGCCAACCCTGCCTAGAAAACCTTGTAATTTTACTGCATTTTGTGAGAAAATTTATGATAGCCTTCCTCACTGATATTGCTTTAATGGCAAAAGCATCAAATCATTTGATCTGAGATACTTTAGCAAATACAGCACTTGTAAATAGTGGAAGCCAGCAAAAAAAATCAAGGACTTTTAATAGAATGCCTTGATTTTAGTAACTAATAAATGCTTCCATGGTTATTAATCTGCATGAGCACAAAACCAAATAAAAAATTTGAAAAAAGATGCAATTACAAGCACCATTTACAAAAACCTAAATGTGAATTTGCATATGCGCGAAACTGTTAAGAAACCTGCTAAGTGCATATCTTCATAAAAGCATACTGGTTTAAATGTGTCAAATAGCTAAAATATTTTTATAATAAATTGAAATTAAAAATAAATCCTTCTTTAACCAAAACTCATGTACATTTTAAATATACATAAAGTATCTCATTTTAAAGCCCATTTGAGTACTTTACTTATTGCCAGTTTGCATATACAAGTTCGTACTTGCACAACAATTAGTAAAATAGTTCAGCCCACTTAAACAAGTCTGTGTTTGTGTAACTAATTGACACTTGCACAGGTTTGCAAAAAAAAAAAACTCCACTTAAAGAGCTTCTAACAGCAATCAATTTTAATGAGCAGATAACAGATTGAACGTGTATCTGATTTATTATAAAGTCATTATAAAACAACAAATACAATTCGAAGTGCTAAACATATTTGAAATCTGATCATCAAATCATGTGGATCTGTTTTAATATCTGATTTGGTTTGACATCTGATCTGGTTTAATATCTGATTTGACATCTGATCATTAAATCATTGATCTGGTTTGAGATCTGATCATCAAATCATGGCGATCTGGTTGTGGTATTGATGTTAAGTAAAAATAATATGATCTTTATTTGTCTCATTCATCTCTTATTTGTCAGCAGTTACACAGAGGTCCTTATTTTCATGTTAAAAAAGAGCGGAAAACAGTTCTTACTAAGTAAAACAATGACACAATATACAAGAATTTCGCTAAAAACTTTTTTCAGTTGCTCAAACAGGTGTACTAGAATGAAAAATGTATAATACATTTACATGCTACCTCATATTTACTGGATTATTTTTAATCAAACAGCATCTATCAACAGGCATTAGCTATCTTAAAAGTGTTTAATCCATCAACAAAATATACCGCATATCCAACAATACAGCTTTACCATCATTTTCTGAACAAGGCACAGCAGCTTCAAAATTTAACAAAGATAAAGCACTATACAAGAGAATTAAAAAAAAAGTAGATAATGAAATTGGAATCAGATTTCTTTAAGCCAGATCTCTTTAATCCAGATCTCTTTAGTCCAGATCTCTTTAATCCAGATTTCTTTAATCCAGATCTTTTTAGTCCAGATCTCTTTAATCCAATTTTCTTTAATCCAGATTTAGGATAGCATGAACTATCCCAAAACAGCAAAAAAGTTTTTTGAGATGAGTTCTGTCTTACCATTTTTGAGATTAAAGCAAGTTTTTCCTTTTCTGTCAGAAAAAATTAAAGATAAATTAATTTTTCCAGAAGTTTTTTTAATGATAGGTATGCTTACCTTTAATTTACTCTAGCATTTTTGTTTTTCAAAATGACCCTAGTATAGTTTCTTATGTAACATATGGCTTTTTACAAAAAAAAAAAAAAAAAGATTAAAGGTTTTTAGAGCATGAAGGGACAGATACAGTAAAAAGATGTAACTTTGTTTAATGATGAGTCAGACGTTAATAAATTTTGGTTGATGGAACTAGAGAACAACAACTTTGAGGAGCAACTATATCAGTATTTGTAGATAAAAAAATGATGCAACCTTAGGTCGATGGAACAGTAATTGAAGCTTGGCAGACAAAGCAGGTTTAACTACATTTCTAATGCGTTTTTTGAACTTTGTGTAAAAGGGAAAGAGCATCATTATAAAAACCAAAGCAAATATGACAGTATTACAGTATATAAAGGGATAAATAAGAGAATTGTAGCGGTAGGAAATAGAATCATGAGTAAAATAATGGCAAGCATGATAAAGAGAAGCAACCTTAGCAGATGCTAACTTTGCAATCCATTGTATATACTTCATGATAGGTCAGTAGTGTTTTCATGATAGGTCAGTAGTGTTTTCATGATAGGTCAGCACTGTTTTCATGATAGGTCAGTAGTGTTTTCATGATAGGTCAGCACTGTTTTCATGATAGGTCAGCACTGTTTTCATGATAGGTCAGTAGTGTTTTTATGATAGGTTATTGGTGTTTTCATGATAGGTCAGCACTGTTTTCATGATAGGTCAGTAGTGTTTTCATGATAGGTCAGTAGTGTTTTCATGATAGGTCAGTACTGTTTTCATGATAGGTTAGTACTGTTTTTATGATAGGTTAGTGGTGTTTTCATGATAGGTCAGTAGTGTTTTCATGATAGGTCAGTAATGTTTTCATGATAGGTCAGTAGTGTTTTCATGATAGGTCAGTACTGCTTCCATGATAGGTCAGTAGTGTTTTCATGATAGGACAGTATTGCAATAGCTGTTTGCAGTAAATAACTTTTTTGTTCAGTTGGAGGTAATATTCAGAGCTTTAACTCCAAGAAAAGCTTGCATTTGAATCATGAACAAACAAAAAACATACAGAAAAATGATTTTATCCATATGTTTTCTTAATTTTTCATTATGCAAGAATGTTTGCTAAAACCAAAGAAATTTTTTTTTTTTTTGAAAGCACACAGTTTATTATAAAAACTCCAAAAATTTCTCTATAAAAAGCCCAACTTTTAGTTGGGATAGTTTAGTATGCCAGCTGCCCTTTTTTCTCACTCTTTAGAAATTAAAACCTTTTTTCTCACTCTTTAGAAATTAAATAAACAGTAACAAAATTAAACAAAATAATAAAGTAAAATGTAAAATAATAAACTAAATGAATCAAATTTAAAAAAAATTAAAAATTAGTCAAATTAATCAAATGTAAAAAAATAATGATTCAAGTGAAAGAGAAGTAATGTAGACATCAAAGCAAAGCAGTTTGGGACAGCTTACTTTGTTCAATAATGGTACTCCCATAACCTACTAGACCCAATATTGGTACTCACATAACCTACTAGACTTAATATTGGTACTCATACCATAATTTACTAGACTTAATATTGAATAGCCTCAATGCACTACACATCTAGATCTGATGAGCTATTATGTATGGAGCAATTAATGCTGAATTCATTGCTAAAAATGTTGTTATTTAAAAGCATGAAATAATCTTGATACTGTTTTAATACGGGTCATAAATCAAATAGATATCTTTTTCTATTAATTGATATCTAACAAAACTTCTAATTAAAAAAAAAAACTTTTAAACTATCCAAGGAAAACTTCCCACACTTTCAATTGCATGAAACTTCAACTATAATTCCAATATAATTATGATTCTTTCACTATAATTATGATTTGTCCACTATAATTATGACTCCTTCACTATAATTATAACTCTTCCACTATAATTATAATTTATAAACCTATAATTCTTTTAAGTGAATAATATAGTATTTTAAAAAAATGTAATATTTTTTGTTTGTATACACTTATAAAATGTTTATAATATTTATATAATAGCTAACTTTTTTAGCTTTATATTGAGTTAAACATAAATGAAAAAATAGAAATATTTATATATTACCAACTGCTTTTAGTTTTTTTTTGATAAATTTAAAAAAAAACAAATAGATTATACTATAGCAGTTGATATAAAAACAAAACACAACAATGTTGATTAAAAAAAGAGAAAAAGTTAACACAGTTTAATGTTCAGATATTCTTTGGTAAAGGTATTTCTTTATTAATCATTTTAAGTAAAAAAGGACTAACATTTTTAAACATTAATTTAAAAAATACAAAATGTTCAAAAATTACCCTTTTAACTGTTTTTTTATCATTATTGGTGCACTGAAAATGTTTACAATCAAATGATGAAGCTTTCTAAAAAAAAATTCTATATTCTATATACTAGCAAAATATTTTAAGTACTTACTTACAAAAACATAAAAAATAATAGTAAAACAATTGAAATGGAAAACTGGAAGCTAAAGAAAAATTTAAAAAATACTACTGGAGTAAATATTTACTCTTGGGTGCTTATCATAAGATGGCGATGAAACAAATGAAGGTGGAGAGAGGGGGGGGGGGTGTCTATTAATTTTTATTAACAAATAAAAATTAATGTGTCCTCCCATGTATCAAGCACTTAAGGGTAGTTAGAAAAAAAAACAGCATCAAGCGAATACGTTATGCATGAATTACTCAACATACATTGTAATGAGTAATGTAATGCCCTACGCATTACATTACGCATTACAATGCATTACATTACACATTACAATTAACCTGCAAGAAGTGTTAAAAATGTTGTTCAGCCTTTAATGAAATTTGGTTTTTAATTTATATGTAATTTTTCATTGAGTACAATGCCCTAATAACTTTTGAAAATATTTTTAAAATTATTTTTAACAAATTGATAACAAGTAGAGCGTAAAACAGAAAACCTAGAAGTAAGAACAGAGATAAAAAACAAGAAAAAAAATGACAGAAGACTATCAAAACTGTTAATTATAAAAGTTAGAAAAACATAAAGACAAAGATAATTGTAAGGCATAATGCACAAACAAATAACTATGTAAATAAATTTTATTTAAAAGAGGCTCAAGTCTGGCAGCAGGGCTAGCTACATTAACAATCTAGAGCAGTCTAGAGCAAAGCTACATTTACAATCTTGTCTGATAGAAATTAACAGACATTGTCTAACAAAATATTTAAATTTACAGACCTTGTCTAATAGAAAAAGAGCATTAATAAATGAACCAGCCCAAATATGACAAAGTTTATAAACTTTTGGAAAAATTTGCCAACCACCTCACCTCATCCACCTTTTGCATATTTATTTTATGTTAATTGATGTTTATCAATTATTTATTTATTTTTACTTGTTATCAACAAATAAAACTGTCTCAAAATTTCAGAATTTTAAAACTTTCAGTGTAATCAGGCTTAACAAGTTATCAACCTATAAAAAATGTTTTTATTTGGTTGAAATTGAGTTTTTGATTTCACATAAACAAAACATAATATTCCCTATTGAAGTTAAGATAAAATAGCCACAAACATGAAATACAATCAAGAAATACCACCTTTTATTGGACTTGAAATTTTTTATAATTTAAGTCTAATGAAAATTTGGTATGTCAAGAACAATTTAACATACCAAATGAAGTGATTTGAAGGTTTAACAGTGGATTATCATTTCTTTGGAATGACAGGAAAAGTATCATGATTAGATAAACAAGAAAAGAAATTATTTGCAAATAGTTCTGATCTCAGGAAAGATATTAAGACCCAAAATAAAATTTAACATAAGACTTATTTATGTCACTATTAAAATTGCCTTTTTTAATGTCACTATTAAAAACTTTCTAAAAGTCTAAAGAACCAAAGTTTTGAGATAAAATACAAGATTTAGTAATTTAAGAACAACAGAACTTAGTGCCCTTTTTACATTGATTTCTTTTTTTTTTATAGTTATAGTTGTACTTTAAATTCTTAGAGAACTAGACTCAATCATAAGTAAATAATCAATGGTGTTACAATCAAGCCATTCAGTGCAATGAGCATTAAGATCATCAATATAACCATTACACTGAGATTAAGAGCTGTATCCATTTAGAGCTGTTAAATTGCCACTATTAAAGACAGGGTTTGCATAAAAACCCGCCTGATAAAACCCAATAAAACCCACTTAAAAAAGCCCAACAAAACCCGGGCAATCTGGGTTTTATTAGGCTTTTTAAAGATATTTTATAATTTTATGAATTATTGTAATCAATACTAACATTATAACTATTATATTATTAACTAAATTAAATATTAACTATTATAGTTAACTAAACTATTATTAACTAAATTATTAATTATTATAACCAACATTAACAGCTATCAGAGTAGATTTACTAATATTTGAAACATTATATGGAAATATATTAAGCCAGTTGAATAAAATTAAACAACTGCTTTTACTCCGAGTTTTTGAGTATTTGTTGCAATTACATGAATACAAATTTTAAGCAATTGTTATTTTTGCGCACGAAAGCCTTTTCTCTGAACAATCGCTTATATAAGAGAAAAAATGTGAATAGAAAAGCTTTAAATCATAAAACGACAAGAAATTGCTTTAAATTTTACGAGCACCTATAATAGCTGCTTTTTGTTTTACTTTTTGATAATTGAAATTTTTTATTACTTTACTACTTTATTTTACTATTTTTTGAAATAAATATTGTGATTTAGGCCGGGTGAATTAAAAAAAGCATTTGCTCACAAGCAATTTCTTTGAGTAAAAGTAAAAGCTAAAAAGCATATGCTCATAGCAAAAGCAATTGCTAAAAAATATGTGAACAAAATTTTTCTTTTACTCATAAGCAATATTTTGTGATGATGAAAAATTACTGTAAGTTTCTTATATAAAGTAAGCATTTACTCCTAAGCTTCCACTTAAAAGTAAATTTTTTTATGGTACTACCAATAAAAATTGTTTTTTTTTTTTTTTTTCATTTAAAAATGGCTGCTTTTAGTGTAAATCAAATAATAATAATAAAAATAAATAAAATAAAAATAATGATAAAAATGTGAAGAAATATATACTAAATATATAGAAATAAATATATATACATATAGATAGATAATGTTTGTTTAGTTTCTCTTTTTTTATAATTATTATTTTATTTCTATTTTAGAACTATAAAAAAATATTTGTTTTTTAAAACATTTGTCTTTAAATAAAACATTTTCAGTTTTTATTTTTAATATATTGTTTGATATTTAGAGTAAAACAGGGTAAAATGAAATAGCGGGTTGAATGAAATAGTTATGACAATGTTTATTCTTTTGCTCTTAATTATTGAATAATCTTTTTGCAAATATTTTTCGCTGTTGTAGAGAATACTTTTTTGAGTAAGATGATGTCCAATTTTTTTTTTAATAAAAAAAATATTGTTACAAATTGTTAAGTTTTAGAATGCCTAATAAGATTTTTTTTTATTATTTTGAAAAATGAACTTAAAACTCTCAGAAATTCAATTTGATATTATTGAACCTAAAAGGTTTTATGGCGCAACTTTTTAAGTAGCAAAATTAAATTTGCTACTTAGGAAAAAAAGTTATGAGTAAAAAGTGGAAAAGGAGAATTTTGGGGTTAAATGAAATTGTAGGGTTAAATGAAATAAGTGAAGCTATTCTTAAATGCGTTTTTTTTTTTAAATTAATTCTCAAGTGACCAATAAAACTCCAGCTATAAATTTTTGCATAAATTTCAATAAACAAATTTTTCTGAATTTAAATGAATGACTTTTACTGACTGCTTTTAATAAATGATTCTAATAAATGAATGAAATACGCTAGTTGTTCTCTTGTTAAATTATAAGGTTTGGCTATGTCAAATATGCATATCAAAGCAATACGTAAAAGGGGCTGAGTTTTATTGCCCCAAAAAGTGCTACACAACTAAAAACTCAATTCAACCATTAGCACCTCTAAACGAATCAACATCATTACAAGAATAAAAAAGTTTTTTTATTTGATTGATTTTTTTTTAATTGTTATTGTTGATTGCTTTTCGTTTTTTTAATAAAATATTGTTTTAATTACACGTACATTTGTGTATTTCATTCTCTCTGTATGTAGGTGTAGAATGGAATAAATTTAATCAAGTAAAGTTTTATAACAAACTTTTAATTTTTTTATTTTTATTTATTTAAATACTCAATATTCTCTACAACTTTAAAAAAAATTTAAAATAAATTTTTTTTTGTAAAAAATAAGTAATTAAAATCCTTAACTATTCCATTTGACCCAATTTTACTATATAGATTTAACATGAGATTCATTTTTTTTATTAGTTTTAAATTATGTTTAAAAATGTTTTTCAAAACAATTTGAAAATTTCTTTTTATAAATTATTAAATAACATTATATAAAATATATTTTAAATAAAATTATAGTAGAAAATTATATTAATTTTCTATATCATTGAACAAAAAAACAAAAAAAAAATTTAACAGATATAAAATAAAAAACTCAAATTTACTCAATAAGACCCAAAAATACCCCCCAAAAAAACTCAATAATTAAAATCAAGAAGATCGAGCATTCAACATCCTAAAGGAAGGAATGAATGGATCTTTTTGACTAAATGCATAGATTTTGCTTGTGTCTCTGTTTTTATGATTAGGGAACTCATTCTATTATCTCCTAATAAGGGTACAACTCTAAAACTCAGTTTTATGGTTCTGAGGCCATCTGGTATTCAGGTTTACTGAGCTCTGTGGAAACTCTCAGAGAGGCTGATTCCGTCAACAGCTGTAAAATATCAGAGTAATAACAGTACAATGTTGCGCATGAATGGTTTGTACCCTGTTTGTACTTTTGGTGTGCATTTTGTTATGGCTTTAGGTTTTTTTAGATTTTAAGTTAGGCTTAGGGTTTATTATTAGTAATGAGACAACTGCTTGGGCTATTAAATAGTAACATCTATGCTTTGATTCTTTGAGCTCTTTAACAAATTTAAAAATGACTAAAATACCAAAAACTATATAACACAAAATTCATTTTTTCTGAGTCTTATCTCTTGCAAAATTCACCAGACCAACTTGCTCTTTGTGAAACTAATTTGAGTTCAGCCATCTCATCTTGTGATCTTAGTGTTGTTTATATTCCTTCAATTTGGAAAGACTCCAATAGTCACATGCTTGGCCTGGGCATTTATATTCGTAAGAATTCACCTGTTTGTCAGGAAAATAGGTTTGAATCCACCAACTATTCTTTTATATCCTTTCATTCAGCACCACTTCACTCTATCGCCTTTCTCTTTGTTCTATATCGCTCTCCTTCATCTTAAGACTGCACTCTTTTCGATGTTATTTCTGATCAAATTT